CAAAATATCTCTAAAGATATTTAAAATATACAATATATTACTGTATCCCAGGAAAGAATAATAAATTCCAGATGACAAATTCACAGAGCAATTCTGTAGAGATTTGCTATAATGCAGTTCTAGAGTAGGAAAGACCTGTAATATGCTTTACAGACTATGAATCGTTTTAACTCAACTGGATAACAAGCAAAAAGGACAATGAGCTAAAATATGACCTTATATCTACATTTCACACAATAAATTTCAACCATGTTTAAACGCCTACATTAAAAATCCACTTCATGGGGAAAAAAAGCCACAAAAAACTAATTTACATAATTATCTATTAAAGAGTAATTTCCAGATGGAATGTGTTTCCTCAATTACATACACTTAAAGGAAGTAAAGGTGCATTTATTTAAAAGCATTTTACAATGTATATTTGTTTTTAATTTTAAAAGGCTTTTCCCTCTAAGATGAGCCTTATGACTTAATTCCTTGAAAAGTGTGTTGGCTTAAGTACATTAAATAGCTTACATCATTTTTACGTTAACTAATTATAGGAGAGGCATAGTAGAAAGAGTCACACAAAAATGTGTTCAAATTCTGGTTCACCACTTTTTAATTGTTCATCTTTTGACTTAACACTAAATTAGCAGATGTAAATACTTGTTTTATCATGTTTTATGAGATCAACAATACATGCAAAGCACTTACTACAGAGTACATCATTCAACCAATGAGAGCTAATACTTTCTTTTTCATTTTCCAAATACTAACCAACAGTAACGTTCAGCATTGTAAGAATTACCTACTTTTAATTACACTTGACCCTTGAACAATAAGAGTTTGAACTCTACCAGTCCATTTACATGAGGATTTTTTTCAATAAATACTGTAAGACTATATGACCCGACGTTGGTTGAATCCCTGATGAGAAACTGTGGCTATGGAGAGTGGAACTGCCTATACAGAAGACCAACTATGAAGTTACATGCAGATTTTAGACTGTGTGAGGGTCAGCACCACTCACAGATCAATGCATTATTATATATTTGCAAGGATTGATTGTATTAATATATATTTTCTGGTGTCTAACTTAATTTTTACTAAATTAATAATAATAATACTCGTTCTGGAATAAAACTGTAAATTTGAATTTTTCTTTTACTTTTTCAGTTGGTCTTAAAATCAGAACTTGGATGCTTTACTTGATATCATCTTTAAAAAGAATCATTGTTCCGTATATGAACCCTAAAAAATGAAAAGTACCTTGGTAACCATGTGGATGAGTGGCTCTAAAATATCTGTTCCTGAGCTGGTACAAGTCCGTGACAAAGTTTCGCCAGCCTCCAGTACACAGAGGAAAAATAACAGAGGTCTCTTTCATATAACCCAAATTTTCATACAACCAAATCTGTCCAATTTAAAAAATTATATTCTGAGATTACTTCTTTCCTACCCTTCTGTTCCCTTTTTTGGTGTGTGATTTTTCCTCTTTTATACTTTCTTGTCAACTCCATGTTCTGTCACCACCTTTTCTTTTTGTTTTTAAACTCCTAAGGATTATGGACTTTGGTCACCAATAACTAGATAAAAATGTGTTAACAGGTTTTGTGTAAAGTCTGGTAATCACAGTACTAAACCAGCCTCTCCCCTACAGCAAGAATCCTTCCTAAAGCATTGTCAAGAAATGTTCATATTTTGATGAGTTCTATCTTAGGAAAATAATTTTCGATATGTATACCAAAAACAATACATGAAAGTTGAGGATGTATGTGATCTACAATTTTAAGGTTAAATTTTGTGAAAAATATTATGCTACTTACAACCTAAAAATATCAAGGAAAGCATAAAATATTTGTTTCCAAAGCAGTATAACTTCAAAGACAAAAGAAAAAAAAAAAAGAGGGGATAGTATTGCTAAGGGAGAAAAAAGCCCCTTAGATATAAAAGGTAATATACTAAAAGAAAATGTAAATTAGTAAAGTGTAACATTACCAGAGTGAATTAATAGGATGGTAAAAGAATTCCATTCATCTCCATAAAGCTTTTCCAAACATCGAAGAGCACAAAGTGTCGATCCTCCATTTCCTGGAAAATAAAGTTAAAAAGCTCAATTTATTTCACATAAAGTTACAAAAACTTTATTATTATAGTAAATTTAAGTGTTATAACTTTGAGGATATGACCTCTGGCTACAATTAACCAGGCAGAGAGCAAAGGTATAGGCAGAACAATCAAATTAAATACACATTTCTTAGCAATTAAATAATTAGTAATAAAACCCAGAGATGAGCCCTTGGTAATAAAAGTTGAGTTAATCTTCTTCTGAAAATAGTAGTAAAAAGAAAGAAATGATAAATTAAGCAATCTGCAACACTATAAGACTGTAAGTTTACACGTTCAATTGGAGTTATGAACTGTAAAACCCATTAAAATAATTCTCCCATATGATCATATACATGTGTTAGATGTACTTTCTAAAAAGATTTTTAGAACCTGTTTTCCTAAAAAACATCTTAAATGTAACTTCCACTTACTAGTTACCATGGGAAAGTTATTTAACATTTTGTGCCTGAATCTCATTCAAACATGGGAATCAGAAAAGTACTGACCACATATTTATGAGGATTAAAACACTGGCTAATTAGGACATGCTAGTATCAGATACAGATACCCTAACTCTGGTATCAATGAGCTTCAGCTTTAAGTATCACATGGAAAATGGCCCCCAGGAAAATAGCATGTATTTTTATTTGCAAGGTAAGGTCAAAAGGCAAAGTGGACAAACTGGTTTTTAAAAGTAAACATCTATGATAATTATGCCATTAGACTGTGCTCTTTCGCATTCTGCACTGTGGTCCCAAGAGGCCAAATATTTATTTTTCCTGATTTGATCTCTTCATGTAAGTTTCTGAGCAAATTGTGTAGTTCAGAGGGACCTTAAGAGTCCTACTGATAAGGTCCAAAAGAATATTCACCATCTGAGTAAATTTTATTAAGACTAATAAAATTCTCTTTTAAGTAACATAACATTCTGGAAGTTTTTCATGGTAAGTCCACAATGTGTAAAAACAGTTGCCATGCCTTTTATCTTTCTTAAAAAATAGTGAACTTACATAAAAATTTTAAAGTTTGTAAAGACTATAGGTGGTAAGACACACAGTATAAACTGTAAGCCACAGGAAAGCTTTTCTTCAGTGATTATTCTGCCCACAATTTATGATATAAATCTGACCATAAATGTGTACCAATTTTGGCTCCAGCAGGATCAACAAAAACATGATATTGAACTCCAAGAGGTAACTCCTTTTTTTTCAGCTTTTCTGACAGCTGTTGCTTATAAGCAAGTTCCTGTTTATCATCAGCTGCTGTTATTGCAACAATGTCCCAGAATTCTCCAGCTGCCACAGGTTTGCCTATGTGTGAGAAGAAAGTGATAAATATTATCAGAATTCTCTAGCTGTTACAGGTTTACCTATTTGGAAAGAAGGAAAAAAGAGGTAATAGGATCTTCAAAAATGTATCTTCTGCTTTTGAGAATTAGGGAATAATGAGTGGTCAGCTAGTAGGATTCAAAATAGTTCTAATGAGGATTGTTCACAAATTCTACTTTTTTTCCTTTTAGATTACTTGCTCCTTTTATGGTCTACAGTCCCATTTATTTAGATTTTCTGAGAGTTGTAATGTTTCTTAAGAGAAGTACTTTTGACTTGCTAAAGATGAGCTCAATTCTTAAATAAAGAGAGGAGACAAAGGAATAAATTAATCTCCAGTTTTGAAAATCAGTTTTCCCATACAGGGACCACTTAATGTTTGTTGGCTAAGAAAGATTAAATCCAAGGACCCATTGCTACAGTGTTGGTGTTCATAAATGTGGGCACTTTACTTTTTAATCGCCTTAAAATGAGCCATGCAAGTTTACAAAGGTTACTGGAGAATGACACCAAATTCTGGATAACAGAAAAGTTCCCAGCTCCCTGATGAACTCAGTAAGAGACTGAACTTTTGGCTGACAGTTGGAAGCTCTTCTTTATTGATAAACAAGACAAATAAGCGTTTTTATTAGTTAACAAATTCTAGTCAGCTAGAATCTAACAGTCCTGAACATTTTACTGTAATCCAAGTATTATTTTCTGTATTTTTGAAGCAGTAACGTCAACAAAAATATGACCAATTAGATAGTTGTACAGGAAATGACAAGTGGCATAGTCCTTTAAAAAAACATTTTGATACAAAGTTACCCCTTCTAATTTTTAATCCATAATTTCACCGTGTTGTTTCGCTTTTCACTTAGTAAGCGTTCACATCATGGAACAAATTGGTGAAGTAGGTAGGGAGTGGAAGAAAGCTAAAATCGGAATTTTAAGAGTCAAATCACTATGCTTTAGATCTTTTAAGTTTATTCAAAATAATTTTTGCTAATGAGCTAACCAAACGAATAACTTGGATTTATAGCTTCACTAGTCAGGCTAATAACTGTCTTCTTATTCCTCCTCATATATAACATATATATATATTTATATATACGCAACTGGGAATAAACTTAAAGAAAGCAACAAGCATAACGTAAAGAAAGGAGAGTGACAGAAGAATAAAAAACTTAAGAGGAACATTAAATGCGCCTGGGCCAGCGTCCTAGGCCCACAAGTGATTAGTAAAAGGAAGTGGTAGTCCAGCAAATACACCAGCACGTAAAGCGCCCTCCCTGTCCGTTGCCGGGGAGAGCCAGGGTTCCTCCTTTGGTACCTCTAAGCTCTGAAAACCTCCGCAACCTTCGCTGGGTGGCTTCTCGCAAAGATACGCCTGGAAGGGCACTCGTGGCTGCCATAGCTCACTTTCCCCAACACCGCCGAGGACTTCCAGCGATCCCGCAGCCCAGCACCGCACGCATGCGCCCTGGGACGTAACCCGTTCTTTGGTCCGGTTTCGTTTCTGTCCCGCCCCCTACGTGCGTCACTCACGTAACTACGCCCCCGAAGCTCTTTGTCTTGCTTAAGGAAAACCACGACTGGGTGAGCTCGGGGCTTTGCTCCGTTTCCCTAGCAACGGCCTCCGGAACGGATAAATGGCCACCTAGTGATTTGTCGGACTGTGCCGGGTCTGGGCCGCTTGTTACCAACTCATAAAGCCTTGCAGCTCGGTAGACCCGGTGAGTGGTCCTGCTTGGGCGGCGAAATTTCGAGAACTGACTCGCTTAAGGAGAAGTTCAAACTACAACTTAGCTTCTAGCTTTCTCTCAAAGGCCGTTCGTCCTTTCTAACTCGTGGTTTGTTTTAGCCAGGGGCAGTTCCCAAGGACCTCTTGAGAGTTAATTCCTCCCCTTGGGTCGTCGTCTGAAGCCATCTGCCCCAACCCCAGGTCCAGATACATACATAGTCTGAACTTTTAAAATCTGTACTTTCTTCAGGAAGATTTGTGGCTTCTTTGCCCTTGCAGTTACTAGAGAGTGAGCCACTCCACACCTCTCAGTTTTGAGATCACTTAAGAGGCTTTTGGAAGTTGTATAAAATTCTGCAATGAGGCCCTTAACGTTTGGGGCTTTTTGGCTGTCTCTCTGGCAACCTTTTGTGTATGCAGATTAATCTAGAACTTTCAATAGCATTCCTGGGAATAAGTTGGCCTTAGTGGGTGTGTTTTCGGTAGGTATCAATAGATAAGTTTCTTCTCTTGTAAAACACCAAGTTTATGATGAGTTTTACAGATTCTTCTATTTATCTTTACACGTGAGAAAGCTATGAATGAGAGAGAATAGTGACTTAGTCAGGCTCTCACAATTAGTTAAGTAGTAGAGAGAAGATTTAAGCAAGATATTTCAATCCCAAACTCCGACATCATTCTACCGCACCATACAGTTTAATTTAGTTGAGAAGCCTGTCTTCATTAAAGTTTCATCAGGAACATAGGCATTCAAGGCCTTACAAGTTCTTACCATGAACTTAACTTAGTTTTTCTTCTACAGAATTGACGCTGTTATTTAATTCAGTACTTAGAGCGAAAGAATTTGAGTGAAAAGGGAGATTATGCTTTCATAGTTTTATTGTTTAAAAGCTCTCTTTTTTGTTAATAAAAACAAAACATTCTTAATAAGAACATTTAGAAAATACAAAAGACTTAAGTGAGGTGAGAGAGAACAAAAGGGGAAGTAGCAAGAGAGAAAGTGAGATAACAACGGCTTAAATAAAGGATTTCATTTTTTAACTGAGTGAAACAAAGCCATTGCAAGGTTTTATGTGACTTACATTATGTTTAAAAGGAGCGTTTCACGGAAATGTGAAAATAGACTCTAGCGGAGAGTGGGGCAATGATAGAAGCAGGGAGACTTGTTTGGAGGCTACTGCAGCAAAACAGGTGAGAGTTGGTGAAGGCTTGGCCAGGATGGGAATAGTGGGGGGTGATGAGAAGTTGGTTAGATTCTGGATATATGTTTGAAGGCATAATTAATACAATTTGCTAAAGGAATGGCTGTGGAATGTGAAAGAAAGAGAGGAGTCAAGGATAACTGCCTGAAGGCTGGAGCGACCATCAGTTGAAATGGGAAAGGATATGGATGGGGAAGTAGGGACGGTTATTGGGGTAGTAGGGAGAGTCCAGAATTTGGTTTTGGATGTGGAAAGTAAACAGATGTATATGTGTGCAGTGCATATGTTATGGGAGTTTGTATGTATATGTGTTTGCATAATACATGAGTCTGGAGTTTGCAAGACAGGTCTGGACTTAGAGATATAATTTTGGGAGTTGTCAGCATATAGATGGAGTTAATTTTTAAACTACAGAACTAGATGAGGTCCTAAGGAAAGAAAGGTCAATAGAGCCTATAAACTGAGGGATTGTACATACTAATGAGGTAAATGCTGAAAAAGGTAACTAAATAAGAAAACTTCAGAAATGATAAGAACTGTGAGGGGACTAAAACAGGGTGATGTGATAGACTCTATAACAGAGTGTTAAATGTATGTTAGAGCATTTCTTGGACCTGGGAAGAATGGCCATAGAAATGGATGCTACTTTTTTGCTGATATGAGTATATTACATAAAATGTGCTGGATGTAAATATACTATATCGGCTATGTTTTTTGTCCTTGTTCTGTCTTTTCTGTTTTCTTCAAATTTTCACTAATATTAATTTTTAAATAAAAAATGAAAAAGTTGTATACTATGTGAGTGGCAGTAAGTTTCTGGCAGTTGATTGTAGTGGGTAAAAAAGTCAAGGGATTTTATTTAAGTTTAGGTTTTATATAATCAGACAGTGTGATAATGGTTGTTGAAACAGTCATAAGCTACCGTGACCAGAATAAAATATGTCAATACAGGTCTGTAGTAAACCCATTATTCTGTATAAAATGGAAATGATGTGTTTGATCTTGAATTCCACATTTCAAAAGGGACATCAAAATGATAACAAATATGATTTAAAATAAAGATTTCAAAGATTTGTTGATTAAAAAAAAAAAGGGGGACATCAGACAAACCAAACTATAATAAGTTGAAAAAAGATGTTCTTTGGAGGCATTTGGGCTTTTTTTTTTTTTTTTTTCTATTGGAGGAGAGTATCTGAAGAAGTGGCATGAAGAGAAGTGAGATAGACTTTTTAAGAACTTTACCGAGGTATACTTTACCTATCATTAACCTATTGTAAGTGAGCAGTTTAATGATTTTTAGTAAATGTACTGAGTTGTGCAACCATGATCACAAGCTAGGTATAGAACATTTCCATCACCCCAATAAGATGCCTTGTGCTTATCTACAATTAATGCCTGTTAGGTTATTTTTATTACTATAGGCATGGATATGACTGTTGTGTGAAAGTTGTAGAGAAGCACATTAAATTTTTTCTTCTTCTTAATAAAAAGAAGCTTAAGCCACATGGAGCAGGTCCTTGATTACGGACCATGGAGCTTAGGTACATGGCTTGGCCAGTTCATGCTGGGGCTCTCATCTTTTCCGTTACTTGTGCATCATCTCTGTTTAACCAGTCTTCCTCCTCTTACTCTTCCTGATGTGGAGTGTAAAGCAAAAATCTCTTTTTTACTGTTTCCTTTCTTTGAATTTAATTACTCAGTTAGCCTGGTCTCAGACTATTTCTTCACTAATTTTTCCCACTGTAGCCTATTGAAGGAACCCTCACCACCTTTCTCGAGGGCAAAGGAAAACTTTTTTCCCCTAAACTTCTATTTTACTTTCTCTCTTAATTTTTTTAAAGACTGTATCTTCAGAGCAGATTTAGGTTCACAGCAAAATTGGGAAGAAGATACAGAGGTTTCCAGTATACCCTCATATATACCCACACATGCATAGCTTCCCCCATTATCTACATACCTCACCAGAGTGGTACATTAGTTAAAATTGATGAACCTATAATGACACATCAAAATCACTCAAAGTCTGTAGTTTCCCTTAGGATTCACTCTTGGTGTTTTATATTCTATGGGTTTGGACACAGTATAAAGACATGTATACATTGTTATATTATTCAGAGTAGTTTCACTATCCTAAAAATCCTCTGTGCTCTGCCTATTCATCCCTCATTCCCCAAATACTGCAAATCCTTCAACCACTGATCTTTTTACTGTTTCCATATTTTGCTTTTTCCAGAATGTCATATGGGTGGAATACTACAGTATGAGCCTTTTTAGATTAGCTTATTTCACTTAATAATATGCATTTAAGGTTATACCATGTCTTTTCATTGCTTGATAGCTAATTTATTTTTAGTGCTGAGTAAACAGTCCATTGTATGGATGTACCACAGGTTATTTATTCGTTCACCTACTGGAGGACTTCTTGATTCCTCCCAATTTTGGCGATTGTGAGTAAAGCTGCTATAAATATCCATGTGCAGAGTTATGTGTGAAAATAAGTATTCAACTCCTTTGGGTAAATACGAAAGAATGCAATTACTGTATTTTATGGTAAGAGTGTATTTAGTTTTTTGAGAAACCCCCAAACTGTCTTGCATAGTGGCTATACCATTTTGCACTCCTACCAGAATGAATGAAAGTTCCTATTCTTCCACATCCTTGTCATCAGTTTGTGTTATCAGTGTTAGACTTTTGGCCATTCTAATCGGTGTGTTATGGTATCTCATTGTTTTCTTAATTTGCATTTTCCTGATGATATGTGTTAAGGAGAGACTTTCATATGCTTATTTGCCACCTATATATCTTCTTTGCTGAAGTGGCTGTTAAGGTTTTTGGCTTATTATTTAATCTGGTTGTTCATTTTCTTATTGTTGAATTTTAAGAGTGTTTTGTATATTTTGTATAAGAGTCCTTTAGCAGATGTGTCTTTTGCAAAAGATTTTCTCCTAGTCTGTGACTTGTCTTCTCATTCATTTGGCATTACCTTTTGCGGATCGTGTCTCTAATAGTAATGAGCTATAGATTATAAAGTATTTTTTATTGATTATGTTTTTGACGTTGTATCTAACAAAGTCATCATCATCCTAATGTCATCTAGATTTTCTCCTAAGTTATCTTCTAAGAGTTGTATTGTTTTATGTTTTACATTTAGGTCATATATCCAATTTGAATTATTCTTTCTGGAGGTATAAAGTCTGTGTCCAGATTCATTTTCTTTTTCATGTGGCTGTCCAGCTGTTTCATCACCATTTGTTGAAAGTCTGTCTTTGCTTTTTCTCCTTTGTCAAAGATCAGTTGACTGTATTCATGTCTGTCTGTTTCTAGGCTCTCTATTCTGTTCCACTGATCTATCTTTCTTTTGACAATACTAGACTGTCCCGATTACTATAGCTTTATAGTAAGTCTTGAAGTCAGGTGGTATCATTTTTCCAACTTTGTACTTCTTAAGTATTGTGTTAGATACTGGGAGGTCTTTTGCCTCTATATATAAACTTTAGAATCAGTTTGTCAATAGCGATAAAATAACTTGCTGAGATTTTGACTGGGGTTGTATTGAATCTATAGATAAGTTGGCAAGAACAGACATCTTGATAATTTTGAGTCATTCTATCCATGAACATTGTCTTTCTCCATTCATTTATTCTTTGAATTTGCTCATCAGTGTTTGTTTGTTTGTTTTCCTCTTATAGATCTTGTACATATTTTGTTCCATTTATATGTAAATATTTCATTTATGGTAGTGATAATGGAAATGGTATTGTGTTTTTAACTTATTCGTTGCTGGTATATA